TATATATATATATATATATATACGAGTGAAACATGTTCTTGTTTTTGTTGCTGCTAGTTTAGTTTGGATTTGTTGGTTGTATTAACTATGGAGTCAAGATGAATGGTGATGGGGAAAGATTATATGATAATAAATAGATGTAGTTGATATGTAGTCAGTCTTATCAAAACTAACTTAAAGTTACAAGCTCTTTTTATCGCCCTACAATTTGATGAGCCTACAAATGGATGTTCAATTTGTCCCGAAGAAGTTAAAAACGTGAGATGAAGAGAGCTTTGGTAAGTATATCAACTGACTAATCTTAGGAGTGGATATATAGAACTTAGTGGATTACATTCTTTGATAAAATGGTAATCAGTCTCAACGTGTTTTGTCCGAGCATGAAAGATTGATTTGTTGGTTATATCTATGGCCATAAGAGCAAAAGGATTGTGGACTTGTATTTGAAAAACCTGTAATAGATAATGAAGATAGATGATGGTCATTGCAGCCTTTGCTAAGGCTTGATATTTCGTGTATATTGAAGATTTACCTTGCTATTAATTATTTCCTGACACTCTATGAAACAAGATTGGCATCTAAAAAGGAGTAATGGGCATTATTAGACTTGTGAGATATAAGATTAGTAACCAATATGAGTCGGAGTATGACTGTAATGTGAGTGGTCCTTTCCAAATAAGTAAGTTGTACTGTGTAGTACCTTGTAGATACATGAGAAGATGTTTGAGTAGATAAAAGTGTTTATTAAGTGGATCATGCACAACTTGACTAAGATTGTTCATATTGAAAGCAATATCTAGATTGGTTTTTGTTAGATACGAGAGAGATTTGACAAGTTGTTGAAACACAATTGGATCCTTGTAGGTGTGATCGGTAAGAGAATTTACTAGCTTTTATAGGGACGTTGGAGTGAGAAGAGCCTTGCAAGGATTCATAATGTTAAATGTAATGTTTTTGAACATTTCGAGATAGTTGATGGAGAATATGTCAATATTCTAGAGGGACTAGAATTATATACAGAGGTCTTTTCTCCCACAGAACAACAGGAGGTACTTGATTGTGTATCTGACCTCCAAATCAGAGGCAAGGCAGGATTGCTATCTGGAAAGACATATTCAGAGCCTAGAAAATGGATGAGGGGTAAAGGTCGCATCACGATACAATGCGGCTGTTGTTATAATTACAAAATAGATCAACAAGGAAATCTTCCGGGGATCTTACAACATGAACAGGTGGAGCCAATGCCACCTATGATAAAATGGATGATTATACGACTGGTCCAATGGGGAATAATGCCGTCAAGTTGTATTCCCAATAGTTGTATAATCAACATCTATGAAGAAGGGGATTGTATTCCTCCCCATATTGATCATCATGACTTTGAGCGTCC